GCAGCTGACACATTGAGAGTGCAGCCACAGCAGTGGCACTGTCACGACACAGGCTATTTGGAGAGTTGCTTGCAGGAGAGGGTCACATACCGTTTAAAGCCTGGGCTTGCTGTGAACAGTTCGGGTTCTACTGTACAAGTCAAAATAAATTGCTTTCTTTCTTGTAAGTCAAAATAAGTTGCTCCAGGCCCCATTCTGCTGAAGGAAGGGTCAGGCTCGGTGGTGTATGGCCCCCTCCCCGTCTCTAGGGTCCTGCAAAAAACTGCTCCCCCCCAAGCAGTCTGGGGTGTCTGCAAAGGGGCATCTGCCTTTGGTCCTCCTTGGTCATTACAGGTAGGTGGATGGTCCAACTTTCAGGTATTATCCAGTTTCCCCAGGTGTCCGCCACAGTCATGCCACCTCCCTGGGCCTGTCACCCACTACCCAGGGAACCCCAAACGCCTCTCTCTTCCTAGCCTTGGGCAAACTCCCGTTCCTCTGTTTTGGACATTGAGTCAGCCTCATCTCTTTCAAAGACCTTCCCTCTATTCTTTCCCCTAGAACAGTTCCTCAGTGAGCTTGCCAACACAGAAGCCAGAAGTGAGAGGTGTATCCTCAGAAACAAACCCACTCCCCACCAGGACACAGAAAGACCTGTGAAGGAAAAATTCAACTAGGACTAAACACAGATGACCAACACAGATCATCTTGCAACAGCTGTACAGCCCCTTTCTGCCTGTCCTGAGGTCCTTCCCCTCCAAGATACAAGGTCCTCCCTCAGGCCTGGTCTCCCCCACAGCCTCCCCTTCTGCACCGGGGAGAACCAAGACCCAGAGCTCCTCTGAGCCGGCTTCTCCGGTCTCAGGCACCCCCACTCAACCCACACCCAGTGATGGAAGGTATTTATTTGCCTTCCATCAAGGGAAGTGTAAATTGTTTCTAAAAACATTTTAGCAGCTTCAGCAACTGTTTAGAAAACATGTATTATTTTGGAGGTGTCAGACACCCACCTGTCTCTGGCTCTAGAGTGTCACACCCATGACATCACCAGGGGAAGAAGGGGTTGTCAGGCAAGGCAGGTCCGGAGCCCACAGCCGTGCAGAACAAAACTTGGGAGCCTCCTCCCCTCTCTGCGTAGCATCAGGAATTCAGGACTCAAAGGGCAGACTCACGGCCCCACCTGCAGCCATCATCTCACCTCTCCCCTCCCACTGGGTCCAGTGGGCTCTGAGCGCTCTAGCTGAGTCAGTTTCTCTGCGGGCTGTGGCTTTTTCCTCTCCTTGGACACAGTGGAAGGAACACACACAATCTTATCTTCCTCCCAAGATCCCTGTGTAATTACGACAAGGAAATAAAACAGAGTCCCACAGGAACAAAGATACCTGGACTGGGGACAGATTCCAATAAGGTTTTGGGAGCTGGGAAGTGGATGGAGGGTGGTGACAGGTACCCCAGGGTGAAAGAGACCTGTAGTTGAACCTGTGTGGGGAGGGCTGACCTGCCTCACTGAATCCAGAGAGGCTCAGGTGCAGCCGGCACTCCAGCCTGGGAGGACAGCAGGGCAGCCCAGAAATAAGAGGATTAGCTGGCAGCCTGCAGATGGAAGGTCAGAACCCCAGGCTTCCTACCCGGTCTGCACACACCAGGGGTCTCCCGCTCAGGCCGGTGATTGCAAGTCTCTCTGTTATGGGATGAGTCGCGTCCTCCCAAAAGTCACGTTGAAGTCCTAACCCAGGACGTTAGAATGTGACTGAAGGTAGGGTTTTTAAAGAGGTAATAAAGTTAAAATGGGTCATCCGGGTGGGCCCTAATCCAGTATCACTGGTGTCCTTATACGAAGAGGAAATTCAGAAACAGACACTGAGGGTAGACCATGGTAAGATACAGAGAGAAGATAGCCATCTACAAGCCAAGGGGAGAGGCCTCAGAAGAAGCCATTCCTGCTAACTCCTTGATCTTGGACTTCTAGCCTCCAGGACTGTAAGAGAATACATTTCCATTGTTTAAGCCACCCAGTCTATGGTAGTTTGTGGCAGCCTTAGCAAACAAATACACTCTTCCTTGGAACTTTCCAGCAATATACTGACTCCTCACCACACACTGTGAATAAGGCCCTGTTCCCCATTTACAAAAATCAGGTGTTTGGTGCCCCATTCTCAACTATGAATGAATAACTAAGGGTCACCAGACATCTGAGGACAGCCTCCAACACAAGAGAGACGAAAAGAAGTAAACCGGAAAAGATGACCCCAGGGGAAACAAAAATAATCATGAACTAGTCCAAACCTGCAAACAGCTTAGACATAAATCAGTAGGGAGCTGGTTAAGCAAATCAATGGCACATCTTTACAATGAATGCCAGGAAGCTGCTAAAAGGATTTCACCCCTTTTATAATCTGGATGTGTCCATGTGGAAAGAAGTTTACCAGGTAGTGCCAGGTGAAAGAAACGTATTACAGTATGAGGAGTGTAACTGTAGTCATGCAAATTGCAGGTGTATTAGAAGGGTCTGGCAGGAGGTGATAGGCAGACTTGCAGTGGGTATGTGTTGAGAATATCTTCTAAATGGGCCCACATGTGCCAGGTAAAAATCGCTATGGACTTCCTGACTTCCGCGCTTGCCCAGGTACCTCTGGACTGACAGAGGTATTCTTGTTTAACCTGGAGGGTCAGGAACTCATATACCTGTCTGAAGAAGCTAGCACGAGGCCAGGTACACAGCAGGTGCTCAATGAGTGCTTACTGGAGAAAAAATGGATGGATGGATGGATGGATGGATGGATGGATGGATGGATGGGAGGATGGGTGTCTGGTTGGACATGATCATATGATCATGCAGGTAGCTAGATAACAACCACGGCTGGTGAACACAGCAAAGAGGTGAAAGTTATCCTGAGNCAAGGCTCAGGGGAACTCCTGGTTGAAAACACCCATGTGCCAGGAGGGTGATGTGTTCTCACTCCATGGGGGAAGGAAGCTCTGATTCAAGACCCTCCCAGACTTTGCCCTATGTGCATCCTTAATAATAAAACTATAATTGTAAACACGGCATGTCCCTGGGTTCTGTGAGTCTTTCCAGTGAATTATCAAACTTAAAGGGGTCATGGGATCCCCTAAATTTGTAGCTCATTGAACATCAGTGCGGCTGGCCTGGGGACCCCACTTGCAGCTGGTGTCTGCAGTAAACTCAGTCTTGTGGAGGACTCTGCCCTTCACTGCGGGGGCTACGCAAACTCTAGGTGTTAATGCCAGAACTGTATCGTAGCATACCCCAGCAGGGGGAGAAACAGAACGCGGGCTCTTCCCAACAGCCAATGCAGAGCAAGGTTTCTTGGTCTGAGGATTAGACAAGAGGGTCTCTTGTGTGATGGGCCACTGTGCCTGATCTTATCCTTAAGGAGCAATCGCAGGCTTCAGGGGGCTGTTTTTCAGACGCTCAAAAGAAAGAGGCAGCATCACAATGGAGTACATCCAGCTCTCAGCTGAACTCACAGGGCCATGCTCGGTGTGGTGGCAGACCTGGTGGGGGTGGAAGTAGAGGCTCAGCTGTCCCAGCATGTGGGTAAGGGGCCCGCTACCCCTGCACCCCAATCTCTGCCACGTGATCGAGGTGCTGAGATGGCTGACCTGTTTCCCTGAGCTGTGAGCTGCCTCAGGTGGAGACAAGATTGTAGGCAGCCCCTGAAGAGAACAGCATATCCTCACACCTCTCCCGGGCCCGGGCTCTTCTCGGGCAAACCAGAGAATTGGGCCGCCGCCTCCCGCCCAGGGGCTCACGGGAAAAACTTGAACCTTGTCTCCAACCATTATTCACACACATATGGACCCACAAAGACACATCCAGTGAACTGTAGGGGGGGCGGCAGCAAATGCCAGACACCGGGAGGTGGGGTGGACCATGGTGTGTCCAAAGGAAAAGACCACACGCCTGCCTGGACCACATGTCATGCCCAGCAAGGTCCCCATAACACCTCATTTAATTCTCATGATGCCCTCTGAGGAAGGCGCTATTATTAACCTTATACCCATCTTCTGTACAGGGAAACTAATCTCAGCAAAGTGAAAATGGCTCAAAAATGTCTCCCTGCTTCAGCCTTGCCCCACCCTGTTTCTCCACAGCAGCCAGAGTGATGCTCTTACATAGTAAATCAGAACATGTCATCTCCCTGTGAAAGCGCCTCAGTCACATCCCACCAGTGCTAGGCCGCCTCCAGGATGGCGCCAATGGCCCCATTGCCTGATAACTTGCCCTTATAACTCCTTCTCCATGAGTGTGGGCTGGACCTAGAGACTAGCTTCACACACACAGCTAACGACGTGGTGGGATGTCACTTTTGAGAGTAAGTCACAAAGACAGAGATTTCTGTTTTGTTTGCCCTCTCTCACATACTCGCTCTGAAGGAAACCAGCTCCCAGACTGTGAGCTGTCCTATGGAGAGGCCCACACGGCAAGGAACAGAGGGAGTTCTCTGGCCAACAGCCTGAGAGGAACGAATCCCGCCAACAGCCACCTGGCTGAGCTTGAAACAGTTCTGCCGCCCTCAGTCGAACCTTCGAATGACTCTGGCCTGTTTTCCTCTGGGCTTCTGCTGGGTTTCCCACTAAATTCCACTGGCAACGGAGACCTGTAGCTTTTGGCGTGCCCAAATGGCAGGGTGTTCCGGTGCAAAATGGGGGTGGGCCCGTCCTCCCTCTGTCCCACCCCTGCTAGATGCCAGCAGAGCAGCTCCCTGCACCAGAGTGCTTTGTCAGCGTTTGCTGAGATGCTCTGCTTGCCTGCCTCCAGCCGCCCTCACAGGACTAGGACATAGTCCACTGAGGGCAGGGTCAGAGGCTGGAGCAGAGCAGCCAGCACCATGGTGTACGAGCTTGCCTCCATCCTGAGGCCCAAGGCTCCTTCACTGGGTAAGACTGCCTTATGGGGGCCGGCCGAGTGGCGCATTGGTTAAGAGCTGGCTTGGGACGCCAGAGGGCCCCGGTTCGGATCCCACCTATGAGGGCCAGTGACACTGCC